TATATAAAAATATATAGTATGTATTTTTCATGTATATGAAGCAACTGAGCCTGATTCATAAGGCCTTACCAAGTAAGACATTAATGTAAAATTTAAGCATACTACCAGCATGAGGGCGTGCTTTTGAAACCATTTTGAATTATCATCTGGGTTCAGTTACATTCAGTGATCTTTCCTATGTTAGTAACTTTTGTTAATAACAAAAACAATCTCAAAACAAACTGAACTCATTTCAGTTTAATAGTGATTCTTAGGAAAAGTTGTTACATAAATAGAACCCTCCACAGTAGCCTATTTGAACAAATTAAATACCTGCAAGTTCTACTGCTAGTGTCAGTATGAAAGTTTCCGTTGCCTGAGCACTGTTAAACTCGGATCTTATCATCTTCAGACTACCTTTGTGTATGATTAGCCATTCAAAAGTTGAGTTTATAGCTTCTGAGTTGGCTGAGGGTGTTGTTTCTTATTTTGTCAGGCACAGAGTAAGCGAGATGATGAGTTCTGCAGCATATGGCAATCATTGCAGAATTCTGGGAAGTCTCACCACATTCAGCAAACCGTGCATGAGAAGGTTAGTATATAAACTTGAAATGGATCCCTGGGTTCAAAATATGAAGATACTTCATTTTATACATCAGTTCATTAGATCAGAAAACTTTCCAGTTAACATTACAAATAAATCCTCTGGTTGCAAGTGTTGTTACGCAGGGTATGCATAGCTCTGGAAAGAGGTAGTTTTATGGGACTAATATGTAAGTGGTAGACGTAGTTTCCTGGTTAAGATTTGCTATTTGAAATCCTAGGGTGCAGTTCTACCTCAGGAAATCAAGCTGGGAGCTGGGCATCCATTCTACAAGCCAGGATTCAATGACAGTAACTTTAAAGGTCAGCAGAGAAGACAGGAGCCATACAAAAAGTGTAAGTACTGTCATCAGAAACTCTGTTTAGGAGAACTACTTGCTTTATCTGATCTTCATCGAAATGCCTATTGAGTTTTTTGTAGTTATCAACAGCAAATAGTTTATTATAGTTACATAAACACTATGTTGCACTTGGTATTGTCAAGTAATGTCTCCAGTGTGCATATTCAGCTGTTCCAGACTTAATCCCGAACCTTTTAATCAAGCTGTTCTGCATTATGTTGACTTTCCACACATCTGATATAAAACCAAAATAAATTAAAAAAAAACCAACTTGGCTTTGAAAATGTGCTTGTGTTCACATTTGTGGAATATAAAATCAGATAGATTATTGCATATGCTTCCTTTCATTTTATCGTACAAGAGAAGCACACCCTAAATGGATAAAGTATGGATTAGACGTGTGATGCAGCTCTTAGTTTAATTCAACTCTCTGTACTTACAGGGAGTTACGACTTCTTTTGAGTCTTGATTATTATTACAGTTTTTAAGAGCATTTCAAAAGAATGCATTCTTTTGTAGTTAAAGAAGATTCCAAAGTTACCAGAGGTGAAAGTCAGCCACATAATAGAATACCAAACAAACAGGTAATTTCTTCTGTGCTAAGTAAATGTATTCTTTTCATTTTACTCTGACCTGATTCATCGTTTACAGGTTTCTCTTTAACTGCATCTTAGGTGATTTTTTTCACTACGTAGATTTTATTTTTGAGATTTTTTTTTTTTTCTCTAGAGATTTTATGCACTTCCTCTCATTCTGTGTATGAGGTGTACATAATAGTCATGATACCAAATGATTTTCTTCTTCCTCCAGACTCTTAAGAGCTATGCTGTAATGGGAGAACACAAATGCTAGATTCTAGTCAGGTGAAATCCTCTAAGAATGCTACCTTGTGAAAGCTGTTTGCAGATGCAGTTCTAATATAATTGTGTTATAATTAATAATAGAGTACTAGTATTCAATAATAAATGGTGCAGTTTATTTCAGAATTTTGCAGGTGTAAATAAGTACAATGTCAAACTTCTGAAGAGGAATGAAAGCCCCAACATGCCTGTAATTCAGAAGGCTGCAGTTGATGTTCCCTGTACAGGTGGAAAGGTAGGATCCAGATAACTGAAGTTATTCAAAGAGCACAAGAAAATCAGCTTTCCTGGTTACTTGTGTGCAAATTCATGTTTATTACAGATACGAGACAAACCTGTATATACTTGACCGTTCTTTAAGTCAATTCTCTATTGGTCTATACTGGCATCTTTTTAGTATGCAAAACTTGGTTTAGTCTGCGTATCTGCTCTGAGCAGACATGACTGTGATCTGCCTGAGCTGAGAAAAAGAATCCTGAACGAGCATAAAATTAATCTCAAAGTAATATATATCCTTTCTCTTGCATCTCTTTGTGATACACTAAGTTGATGTACCTTTTTTTCAATTTGTTTGAAGAAGGACAATGAACTTGAAAGCCTTGTAGCTTCTTTGAAAATTTCCAAAGAAAATGAAGTGCAGAGTTATTCCAAGGAAGGGAGAGCTACAAATGAAGAACATCTGTCACCACAGTCGTTTGCTATGGTCTGTATACTGCAGGAATCGTTACATTGGAGTTTAGCACCTGCTATCTTAGAATCAGTGCTTCTATTTAACAACTCCCCGAAACCTCATGCTGCCTTTTTAAACATACTGATGAGCTTTTAATTAGCTGTTCTCAAAGAAAATTAATGAACACATTTGTTTATGCTACAGTGCTGTTATCTGAGCTTTGATAAAACATAACTGGTAGGATTTGGTTGCAGATGTTCAGAGTTAAGAAAGAAGGTAGTGTTACCTGAATGCCATCATGTCCCTGAGTGGTTTATTTTATTTTTAAAGAAAGGAACACAGATGCTCAAAGAGATTCTGAAGATAGATGGCTCTGACCTGGAAACAAGGAACGAAGTGAAATCCCAAGTTAATGATGTTCCTGCTCCCTCTAGTAGACAGGATTGCCATGGAGTTGCCTTGCAGTATAAGCAAACAAAAAAAATGGGTATGTTTAGACATCAGCTCATAGTTCAGAGCTTCGCCTCATAGTGACATTTTGGAACATGGCTAGCAGTATAGTACTGGTTTTCAAAATACAGTAATAAAATGTCCATCTTTTTCAGCTCTGATTCTTTATTCAGATCTAAAAATCTCTCCGTATATATAGTCTCCTGGTTTTTGTTCATCAGATATGAAATTGCCAGAAAAAAAATCAAATATACTTTTTTTCCTGCTAATAACAAAGTTGTTATCCTTTCAGTGCAGGAAATGTTTGTGATACAGCTGCTTTTACGTTTTTGTTTTTTTATTTTGTCAGCTGCTTATATGAACAAGCCTCATAGCACCGGAGGCCCTCAGAACACACCAGCACTGGAAACTGGAGGTCACCCTTTCACTTGTCCACAGCCTGCACTGTCTACTGTTTCTGAACTTTCTCGTATCTGTTCTCTTGTTGGAATGTCGCAACCAGACTTCTCCTTCCTAAAAACGCCACAGGTAAAAAGCTTTTTCTGCAAAAGTTAAAGTTCTGAACTTTGTTTTCAGCTGGCTTTATTAAACATTTGGACTTAGCACTGAAATCAATCTAAAAGTAAACCTTAGCTCCTTTTGTGGCCCTCTTTCAAAACAAATAAACAAATCCTGGTTTTCTGTCTTACAGTATGTTTGTCAGCAGTACAAATTCCATGAAAAATCTTATCTTATTTTTCTAGACCATGACAGTTTGTCACATAAAGTTATCAAATGGTTTGTTGGTTCATGGACCACAGTGTCATTCTGAAGCCGAAGCAAAGGAGAAAGCTGCGCTTTTTGCTTTACAGCGTTTGGTGAGAATGCAAAGAATCTTTGAAAATTCTTGTCTCTAGTGCACTGTGTCTGTTTGTAATTCTCCATTCCCTTCTTCGTAGAGTTCTCTAGGAGTAAACTTCCCTTTGCCTCCACCTCCACCAGTGTTTGCAAACTATCAACCACTGGGAGTTCCTGTACCACCTGGACCTATTCCTCCAGTGTTTGCACAACCCCCCGGTAAGTGTTTGACACATTTCAAACATTGTCGTGATAGCCTGTAATTGTAATAGTTCTTTATATGCAAATGAATGCCTTCCAGTAAGCCCTGGTTTTGGTTTTTTGTGTATGTCTGAACTGCTTTGAAAACAGTTCATGAACCTCTTCTCATCAGTGTGCAGATTAATTCAATACAAAGGATCGTGTATCTCCCAACTGTTTCTTTTCTTCAAGAATGTATTTGTCTATTCAGTCTTGGTTGGTTTTTAGGGGTTTTTTTCTTTCAAAACAATAGTAATTAGTTCAAAGCTGATAGTCCCAATCCAGAATTCATAAGAAATCTCTTCCTTGATTTTTCTACATGGATTTCCACCACACCCCCAAAAAAATAGTCAATGGTTATCCATGCAATACTGGGTTTATTTGTTTATAACGCCCTGTCACTGAAATGGGGCATCACAATTCTGTTGTACGTTGCCAAACGTTAACATGGTAAGTAACGCCCCCAAAAATTGGTAAAAATCCTGGTGGCGTTCCTGGTTTCCGTCTGGTTTGTGTTGTACTAAAGCTCATGTTCGCAGCGAGTAATGAATGAGTCAGCACCATTGCAGCATCCTAGTAACCCATACAGCAGCTGCTGCATCTCCTTTTCCCCAGGGTTTCTATGTCGTTGGCCTGTTTCAAAAGGATGGCCTAAACTTGCAATCTCCTACTACTATAGTTCACTCAACTGAGGATGTCAAGATCCTGAGTTACACACACTCTGAAACGCAGGTGCTCTCACTTAGTGCCCTTAACTCTGCTGTCATCTAGGTGTACTTCTGTAAAAGCAGAACGGTTTGGTTTGTGTATTTTTTGATCATAAATAAATATCTATTTTCAAGTAAATATGAGGAATATCAGGCTTTCTAATAAAGAGAAACAACATACAGACAAACATAGTTGGGGTACCTTTGGGGTCTTGGAGAGTTGGTATCCTCTCTTTGAGGAAAGAGAGCTAAAAGTTACTTATTTTCACAGCTAACATGATGCCTCCATCATCTCACATGTTTGGTCCAGTGTCCTGGGGAACTCCAGTGCCTAAACATTATTATCCTGGCTCCTATCCAGGAAATGTGTCTCTTGCAGGAACTATGCCAGTTGGTTCTCACAACCAGTTCATACCTCTGCAGGTAAGATCGGCAGGTTTGTCTTAACATCCTGTAAATAAAGTGTCTACGTGAGGAATGCGACAACACCCCCACTGCGGTGCGCTATTTAGTATTAGGAAGTTACTGTAAAAAACTGTATGTGTGTTTTATAACGTGGAATGTTTCCAGTTTTTTGAGAATGCATTGTGTTAAATGATATTTATTTAATTTAAAGGTAACTAAAAAAAGGGCTGCTCGCAAGAAAAACTTTGAGGTCAAGGAGTTTCAGACTTCCCCTCAAGCTGCACCACTAAAGAATGAACAGCCAGTGTCTTCTGACCACATGCAGCAAGATAGTTCTTCAGCTCCTTTAAAATCTCTTCAAGCTGCTCAATCCACTGTTTCATTTCAAGACAATGTGGCTACTCCGAGAGCTCCTCATAACAAATCAACACCAAACACTTCCAGCAAGCGAAAGCCGAGAAAGCTGGCTGTCAATTTTGGCGCACCGAAATCTTCCGAATAAGTAGAGTGGCTAGGTGTATTTTATCTTTAACTCTTCCCCCACTGTTATGTTCATTTAAAGAAACAGAAAGTTTCTATTAAAAAGACCAGCCACTTTAAGTATGATGTAGAGTGAAACGCATCGTATTTGCTATGATTTTCAGGTTGTTATGAAAACCATTAAAATTATGTTAAAACTTAACTGTGTTGACTGCAGTTAGCAAAAGCCAGGAAACGCTGAGTTAAGGTTACCGTGCCATCCGTAGGGCCTGGGTTTCTATGCAGAGGCTTACAGACTGTCCTGGGTGAGCAGCAATAACAGTGCTACCTTAACTCCGAATCGCCGTGCTTTTTGGGAGGGATGTGGAGCGGTAGGAAGTTGGGCATCAAACATTGTTAGTGTGACATTTTGTATCCTACCTTATTTTTAAGTAGTGTAATAAGACAGAAAGGAAAAAAATGTTTAAAGGCAGCTTTTATATTGGCTCTCCAGGTCCTTCTGGGTTGAGTCAGTGTGACTAAAAGCTCCCTCCAGTGGAACTGCCAAATTCTCTTTAACTATGAACTCCTAGGTTTTGTACCAGAGGGCAACAATTCTCCAACTTTCAAAATGTAGGTGGTGTTACAGCTCTAGTAATAGAGTGGCCAAAAGTGGTTGATGATGTAGAATCTGTTCCACGGGATTAATTTCTAGGGGGTATGGAATAGTCTATTTGCAAAGGAGAGACCTCCTTGGTAAAGTACACTTATTTTTTTGATCTAGCAGCATCATCAATTTCATTGTTTTCTGATGATGAAGTAACATACCTACTACAGAGCTGTGTAGCCTCCTAAAATGCTAGTGATAGCCTGATTTTTTTCTAAATTATAAAAATGGCCGGAGTTTAAAGATGTCCATTGGTGTAGGATGGCTGTCAGTTATGTTCATTAGAGTCCATTTCTCTCTCGAATAGCTTGTGCCCTGAAGCCTTCTCTGTGGTAGGTAATTTTTTGTTGCTAGTGACTTTAAATACTTATTTTTGAGTTCTGTGATCAAGTTCAGACAAAAAGTTGATCTCCTGGTGCTCTTGGAGGGAACCACATTGTAAAAGAGGTAACTCCAGCATTCTTCATTTGTTTTGAGGGAAAAAAGAAGGCTCTGAGGTCCCTGTACCATTTTTAACACACTTTTTGACAACAAGAAATCTTCAGTCTGAGAGAAGATTTGAAGCCTCAGTTGGTGCTGTTTACTGATGTTGATTAAATTTCACTTTTCTTATTTAGTCTAATCCATTCCAGAAAAAACATTTTCCTCTAAGGCCCTGGAAGCTCAGAATTAAAGCATCCTTAAGTGTGCTACGTTTTGTTGCCTCCAAAGAGGTTTCATGTTGGATCTGCAAGTCTGTACACCTTTTCAGTTCCCCAGCCTTGTTCTTTGCCTCCATTTCTCGGTGTAGGACCCAGTTTCACAGGATTTTCTTATACTGATTTCTCCAAAAGAGTTGTTGCCTCAGCAGTAGGATAGCAGCAAACCCCATAAAAAGGATGACAGAGGTAGAAACAAGGTTAAGAAGTTTTATTTCATTGTACTTAATATGACAAACCTTGTAGAATAGTCTATATAGAGTCTAAAAAGACATTGATTTTGTTATTCTTTTTATAGCCATCTAGTCTCTAGAAGGTTTGAAGCCATATTGCATGAAGGGAAAGTTGTACGTTTTGGTGATTTATTGTCACTAGCACCATAAGACTGAGGCAGTGCTGACACACCAATGTTTTGAAGGGTTTATGTGAGATTTAGTTACCAGATGCAGATGTTAATTCATCTGGGATATGGAGGGACTATCTGGTGATCCGTGAAAAGATCTGTTTAGAAATTCCTGTGATGGAGATGAGACTGTGTTAAATTCTTGCATCACAGAATCCTGACATATCTGGGTAGCAAATTTATGCAGGTTTTTTAAAAACGAAGTTATGAAGGACACTGTATTCTTCACTCCGGTAAACCTAGCAGTTCTTTTTATTAATTACTTCTTCAGACTGAGACTTCCTTTTCAAGCAGGGTTGCTGTATTTAGTGTATGTAGCTGGCTAAACAGTTCATTCTGTAGCTGCTGCATATTGTGTCAGTCCCTGTTTTTTTGTTGTATGTTCTGCAATACTGCCTGGTGCCCACTTAATTACCGTTCTGCATGTCCTGGCAGCTGCAGCATCTGCGCTGACACGCGCTGCCTCCCCTACGATTGCAGTTTCACGTTTTACCAAGGTGATTATATTTCATTCATACAGATACCAGTTGAGGCGTTTGTTTTTCTCATAGATATAAAGTATTTTGTAAGCACTGGAGTTTTTCATTAGATCTTATACAGAGCAGTATTTTACTAAAAATCCAAAAGGGAAGACTTTTATGTGCGCGTTTTTGTAGTTTCTGATTTTTTTTAAAAAAACTTTTCATTGTTTATCTGACAAGTGAAATGTTTAAAATTTGCATATGAATGGATACAGAATGTATTTTTTGTGCTGTTTAGTGTTAAGTGTGCATTTGCAGGTTTTTAGCATGTAGTTGCACAAAGAACTGTGCAAACATATTTTAAAATACAAATATATGATACACTGAAGGAAAAACATTCATAAAAGTTAAATGCTATATAAAAGTTTAATGCAATAGAATAATTTTATAAATTGTGTCTGTGTCTGCTTGGATTAAATATTGAAACAAGAAACATTACTTATTTTCATTGTTTTATTTCCAAATACAATGTGGGAACTTCTGTATGCTCCAAACCAAAATTTTAAGATAGAAATTAAATCTCCTGAAGCCCAGTTTCTGTGATGCTCAAAACCAGCACCTGCCCACCTCTGAGCTCCTTGGTGGCTTTCCACTAATACTACTCAGATACGAACCTTGTTTAAAAAAGGTTTTGGTCACTTTGCAATTAAAAGCACTTAACTAAACAATGATCTTACAAAATTTGTGTCACCCGTAAGAAGAAAGCTATAGAAAAGACAGGTGATTTTCCAGCTAGTTCAGTCCCAGTGGTTCTTAACAAGGTGGCTGAAAAATAGGAGCCGTTGGTACTTGGAAAAATTTGACATTCTGATGTGAAGCCTTTTTCTCTACCTGGAGAAAAAAATGGTGCTGAGATTTTTTGCTAGAGTGGAGTAAGAACAGTTACCTTATTTGTAGCAAGGCTTCCGAAAGGAGCATGATGACAAACTGCACTAAAACCACTGTCGTGTGTTTTAATTTCTTCAAGAGGCTAATGGCTAGTTAATTTCTTCATCCCCAATAGTAAGTTTTTTAAAAATTCAAAACTGCCAAGTTAATGTTACTAGTTTTTACCCTTATTTTAGAGAGGGTACATGGATTTCTTCCCGTTGGTATTATGTATCTGTTCCTTGTGCTGACTTTTGTTCTCTTTGACCGGTATCTCTAGGATTGAGTTCCATCTCTACTTATTCTTCCCTTCTGAAGCATAACGAACACTGTAGTCGTACCCATTAATTCTTAGTGTCTTTGCCTGTGATTTAAGAGATTTGTTAGGATCTGGCTTTTGCCAACTGCAGCACCAACTGTTCATGTAGAGAGAGGTTATTTTCCTTCTTGTAGATTCTTGTGTGAATTAGGTTGCTTAATGCAACGAGCGTAAAGAATGGAGCGCGCTCTCAACGTGACCGGCTGCTGCAACTCTGCCTAACAAATTCTGTGTGGAGCAACAGGCTGGTTGGTACAGAGATTCGGGTCATGTTACTCAACGTGAAGATACAATCTCACATTTCTTAGGCTGTCTTCAAATTGTTAGTCAATGGACTGTTAGATACTGCAGTTATCCTGCATGGCAAGTTCTGCCTCCTTACTTTTCCCATCTCGGCCCTGAGAAAATTAAGACAAGTAAAGGGGTAACTTTAAAATAGATTAGTGTTGGCGTAATGAATCTTTCCTGGACACTCACGATTGAAAATCGTGGGGCTGTTGTTCAGTTCATCTGAACTAACGTATGGATGACCCCTGAAAATAAGGAATCTCAAAGAAGGAATGGTTACCTACGTTAAGGGAGATTTTTGGGTGTTTTTTTTACTTTTGAGATGTGATCTCCATCTGTATTCCATAACCAGCCTTCCTTACTACTGAGAGACAGTTGTGTTCTTCTCTTTCTGTCTCTGGAAAGGGGACACAGTGACACCAAGGGCATAAGGGCAGTCTGAGTACACACTCTTGGCCAAAAGAATCCAAATTCAGGTGCATGAGGATCCATGAATACTGAGACTAACTGATAGCTATTTCGAAGAATCTGATGTCATGAGGTAAGTACCTGTTTATTAACAAAACAATCCATGGTTCCAGTATCAGATCCTTGTTGCTGCCAGTTTTTGACAGGATGCTTACGCTTATTTTTCTGTTATTTACAAATTTCCTGTTTTATTTCTTCTTTGAAAGACTGTAAGTCAAAGAACAGAAGGAGTTACAATACCTTCAAGTGCAAACAGTAAACCTGATTCCTGTTATTTGAAAGGACAGAAAGCATTTTTCATTAAAACTTAGTCTTTTCTCTGTTGAAACTTGCAGCCTTACTGCATCAGCAGTGTTTTATGAAAGTTGGTAATTGCCTAGTCCTGTGTTTTGTGTAATGGCAAGAAAGACCAAGGCTGGCCAATCAAAAGCCAAAATGTCATTTCTGTGCCAGTGACAATAGCAATTAAATTCAAAGTCAGCAACTTTTAGCATGTTGAGGGTACAGGGTAACGCAAGCATGGTGATTCCAGTTCAAGTGATCTGTTTCAGAGTAACCTATGCATGCTTCAGATTTAGGGCTAATTTGGGATAGAATGTGACATCATCTATGAGCTCCTGATGTTTCTTCCAGGACATGCCTATTTGGAAGAGCTGAAATGCGTTGTTGGTCATTGAAACTTAACTCAGCAGGGTAAATGGAGAGCAGCATAGGCTGCTGGAACCTCTCTGTTTTCTTGACCCTGTACTGAGATGGTTTGTTGTTCTGTATTATTCTGTATTCAAATTTCTTCCATTTTGATTCCCCTTGCTTTCTTTTTTAAATTTTTTTTTTTAGGTGGCTAGGTCTTTGTGAAACAATAGTTCACTTTAGCCTCTAGTATATCCATTCTCTTGCTCTTAGATGGACATTTTCCTCTCTTTACTTTTACTTTATTTATTGCCTGTGAATTTCCAGACTTTGAAATCAGTGTTCTGTTAAAGAGGTGTTCAGCCACTAGTTTTCTAAGTAACAAATGACCATTCGTCACATATATACGGGTACATACATACATACACAGGTACGGGACTCAACCTCTCTGTTTTCTCAAAGCTATTCATAGTTCAGTCATTTTCAGTCCACATCAGAATTCCTTAAGAGACATCCAGAGGGTGATGGACACTATCTCATGTATACTCATTGCACATGTCCAAATGCAGACGTTACTTAGGATGGCTTAAAAGCATGGGCAAATGATGAA